CTATTTCGGCCATGATCGATCGCGGCTCGAAAGGAAATATTCGAATCCAAGGTGGCACTGTTCGAACATGAAAAAATCATGGGCGCCTGACGAATTTCTTGAAATAAATTCACCGTCGTTTTTTGTCATTCAAATCTGGCAAGTTTTTTTGTTTAAATATTTTCTCAAACGTTTAATTATGTTTCGAGGATTTTACGTGAAATAGAGATTCTTTGTAACACTGTTCGAGCAGATTTGACAATTTTTGGTTTTTATGAAAAGTAGGTTAAATATGTGGATCGTATTTAAAGTAATTTAGCGGTTGACAAATTTGTGGGAGGTTTTGGAATTTTTTCGAAAATTGGAAAGGATGTAGATTGCTTGCATAATGCAGATATAAATTTCTATATAAAATACAGATAAAGTACATGGAATTCTCTATCGAATAAGAAATTTTAATAATGTGGAATCGCCGTTCTTGTGACTACAAGTCTTGATATTCTTAATCCTAGGTTGCATTCGGTGCAAGAGGAAAGCACTTTTATTCAAAATTGCAACATGGCGGTATTATATTTTCCCCCCTTTCAAGTTTTATTTCTTTAATCTAATACTAATAAATAAGGAAGTATTATGCTGTACTGGAATTCAAAAAATAGGACACTGTTAACTAAAGTATTTCAAATATCCAACAAATTTAAGAGAATATTAGAAGAATTATTATCACCTGAGAAATTGCTTCTGCTTACAATTCTACTTTTAAGAATTCTATTCATTACTTTTCTTCTTAACAACTAAATAGATAATCTATTTTTCTTTTAACAGTTAAATATCTTTTTTCATTAATTCTCTAATAATTAAATATCCTTTTTCCATTAATAGTTAAATATCTATTTTAGTTAATTTTCTAATAATTAAATATGTTTTCTTCATTGATAGTGAAATATCTATTTTAGTTCATTCTTTTTTAGTTAGCTCTTTAATAATTAAACATCTTCCTTCTATTAATTGTTAAATATCTGTTTTTATTTCCTTTTCTTTTCATTCAATTTGCTTATTCATATTTTCTTCATTTCCTTTAGCTTCGCGTTTACAGTTCTTAGTGTCGATGTGAAACTTAACCAAACGAAAATCACCAAAAGGGGAATAATTCATTTTTGCGTGAATTCATTAAGCGGTGATTACCTGTCGAAGAAGTTCGTGTTTTCGGCATCTTCGTCACGTGGCAGAGTGAGTTTCTATTAATGCGAACCATTTAAATTCATTTCCAACTGCGGAGGCTCGGTAGAATGCAAAGTATGAACGATGGTTGGCTAGCCGTGGCTTTTTGAATAAGTTTATTCCTGCTCCGACGACTGCATTCGACGAATATAACGTAAAACTTTTTTGTTTGATCTAGATCGAGAGAGTTATAAAGTTCCTGGCCATTATACGGTTAATAGTACGGTTCTATTCAATGGCGGTTTCGCGAAATCGTGGATTTCAACAAATTCCTCAGACTTTTGCTTTTTACGCCAGATTCAATTTTTCCGTCTAAATAATGGAAGCCCCGTTCAATGGTGTTTATACGCTTGAACAGCTCGAATTTTCCTTCCTTATTTTTCTCGGTTCGAAAGCGGCTAATCTGCCGGCGATGACTGAATTTTGAATCGAGTAGAATATTTATCTTGAGAAATTCTCTGCATACTCGATAATTAGCTAATAGTATTATGCAGAATGGTACATACATTATTTGTGTGTTATAAATTATTTCCTCGAGAATTACTTCAGTTAGAATTCCACGGAAATATTTTTACATTTTTTTAAATTGAAAAATTTGGTTTTTAATTTTGTTCGATAGTTTTCGTGAAAATAACTTATAGCACTTTACGTGGCCCGTTTAAAAGTTCATAAACATTTACAATTCGTTGTAATTTGGGTAAATTATGAAATTCCCTGTAAACTCGACTGTTGGTAAATTATTCGGTGTATTTTTATTTTTTCGAAAGTCGAACAATGTATCGAGTGAATTTCGGATGGGAGAAAAAAATCAATGTCCAGGAAGATTCGGCATTTCATATGCAAACAAGAATCTCATAATATATTGTTTCTGGATCATGGCCAGGAAATCTCGAACTCGACACATTTCGCGGTGCTCCTGCTAGACGCTTAAAGAAAAACGAAATAAGATTACGAATTCGCGCTCTTCCTCTGCACGGTTGGAACGAAGATTAAATTTTGAATCGCAGCCAATAGATTCACTTGTAACATCTGAATATTTATAATACATTTTTCAGAACGGGAAATTTTCGATTTCTCGGTGCTAGGAAATTTGGAAAATATGAAATTTATACCATGATAGCAATGAAATTTCAAATCTGTTTGTTAATCATTTCTGTGAATATGATTTCTCACGTTTTAAGAAAATATTTACACCGTATCTCTTCCAAATAATTTCTATTAATTTCCGATTTGTGGATGAAAAGCTATGAAATCTGAAAAGATTTTTTAATAATCTCTGTGAATATGATTTTTCACGTTTTAAAAAAACATTTACTCCGTATCTCTTCCAAATAATTTCTATTAATTTCCGATTCCTCGATGAAAAGCTATGAAATCTGAAAAGATTTTTTAATAATCTCTGTGAATATGATTTTTCACGTTTTAAGAAAATATTTACACCGTATATACGCGCCGTATTTCTTCTCAATTATTTCCAAAAATTTTCGGTTCCTCGATGGCAAGCTGTGATATTTGAAAAGTAGATGTTTATCAATAGTTTCTATAAATAGAACTTTTCATATCTTAAAACAATGTCCATGTAATGTTTATTAAAATAGTCTTTATAAAAAATTTTAAAATTCTCGAATCGTTCATGTAATGTTAGATCGTTAATGTAAAATTTACATATCTGGATCACGTTACGTTGTCACAATGAAATTGCCGCCTAATTGCCTTCCACTTTCCAAATTCCATCGATGAAGAACTGTCTAAATCATAGAGAGTGTAATTGTTAAACGAAAATGCCGGGAAATTAATTACGTAATTACGATTCCCCAGGCAAAGGACATAAATCTGTCACGGAACGGAGCATTTCAATGTTAGACCGATATCTTTGTGGTACCTTGACCACGTAGTTATTTACGCCGTGATTGTCTAGCAACACGATCAGTCATCAACTACCAGACCTGCTTTCGACGAGACGAAATACCGTAAAAGTAATTTTCTTGTTTCTTTTTCAATTAGTGTACAAGGTGTTTCACAGAAATGGGATGAATCGTATCGTTCTGATCATTTAGTATGTTCAGACAAATTAACCTTAAACGATAATTGTAAAATTCCAATAATCCTATGAAAATGCAATTACCTATTTCAAGACTATCATAATATTAAGTTGGTTTATTATCATTTTTATTTTTGTAATTTTATAATTGCAAAGTTACATCTAATAATTTTATAATTGAAAATGATAACTTACAACTTTCGAATTTATCATTTCTATAATTGAAAATTGTGGTTTACAAAGTAAGGTTAGGTTAGGTTATGTTAGGTGATAATTGTAATAATTCAATAGCACGGTAATCTAACGTGTCAATGCAACCGGAAGCCGAAGTTATGGCAGTCAAATATAATACCGATGGTAAAAAATTTTATAATTGAAAATGATAACTTACAACTTTCGAATTTATCATTTCTATAATTGAAAATTGTGGTTTACAAAGTAAGGTTAGGTTAGGTTATGTTAGGTGATCATTGTAATAATTCAATAGCACGGTAATCTAACGTGTCAATGCAACCGGAAGTTATGGCAGTCACAAACATAATACCGATGGTAAAAAGTCGCAAAGCCTCAGTCCAAAGATATGATATTCCATTACAAAGGTATAATAATCTATTAGTCATTTATTTCTGACATACATTATTTATTTCATTTTATACAACATTGGCAACATTAAAGTTCCTCGTCTGAGGAATGTAGAATGTAATTACACAATTGGTCCGCACACGTTTTGTCGCGGTCAGTTTGGAGTCACACTTTTTTTTAGCACGCTGAAAGAAATATTTTCGATCAACGCCACGTTTCAATCTCGGTAAAAGTATGAACGGCTTTGTACAGGTCCATCAAGGAACATTTGACTGGAACGTGACCGAATTGTGACCGGTACGTGATTTGACGTGCAATGTAATGCAGTTCTTTGATCTACACCAGTAAGTACTTCTATTGCTTCAGAATTGAGAAAAATTCTAAGGTTGAAATGCGGGAAAGAAAACTCGGTCGGTAACCAATAAAATCGGTAACCAATCTGAGGAAACTAATTTTCTTCTGTAATTTTATATTTATTACCCCATAAACGCGATTGAACTTTGTTTTTTATTTTTCGTTCACAGAACACGCTATTATGATTGCAAATTTGTTTAAACTTATATTCGACGCTTTGTAAATGCAATACTCAATGTTCTCCATTTGGATCGATACTTTTCTTGATCTTTATTAAAGATTTATTATTCCACTTTGATTTTTAAGTTAAATTAATTTTTGTATACGATCAGAGCACATGTAACATTATTTTAGGTTAATTTGTTAGAAGTATGCATATCGTTAATTCATAAAATTGTGATATTTCAAATGTGGGGCAAATGTATTAATTAATTCTGATTAAGAAATTAACCCTGAAATAAAGTTAATGAAAATGTTTTAGGACAGTGATATTTTTAAGAAAGAAATTTATTTCATTTGGAAACATTTATTTTTCTACACGTTTACAGTTATTAAAATTAATTATTTTTGATTGAGGAATTCATTCCGAGGTAAAGTTAATGAAAATATTTTAGGACAGTAACATTCCTGATAAAGAAATTTCTTTCGTTACTGAAATCGAAAATATTTGGAAAAATTTATTTTCCTACCCGTTCGCAGTTATTAAAATTTGAGCGTAATCTGTTA